CCGAATTTTGAATTTCGCTTTTGCTTTTTTGCAACTTCCGGTTGAAATTTTTTAAAGCTTTAAACGATCACACCATGTGACCTTGACCTTTGATGACCTTGACCTTCATAGGGTCAAAGGTCATTGACCTTGGCTATCATTTGATTCTTTGACCTTTGACCTCCTACATGTACTTCCGGTTTTATAGCTATCTGTAAAAAGCCAAATTCGCAACTTTGGACTGCTCTAGCACGTGACCTAATTAACCTAGAGGGTTAATTTTTTCGGTTTCCTAATGTGCTTCTCATGCACTTTACATAGATATATAACAATCGTTATTTTAAAGCAACATTGAAATTCGTGATTTTTTCAAATTGGAGTTTTTTTTTACAATATTTGCGTCTTTTTGAGCTTGGTATATGTATATCTTATGATCTATTTGATGTATAACCTTGATATTTGGAATACAACTAGACACTTTGAATATGAATTAACCTATGACAATAAAACTTATATGGGCGTGGCACATCCGGGTTGAATTACTAATTGTTTACATTCAAAGGGAGGGGCATAATTCGCAGGGGATGCGTTTTTTCAAAAAGGTCCTTTGCACACAATTACTTCATCCTTTTGGCCAGTTTGTGTTAACAGCTCAGTTGTGTCAGCTTTATAGTTCCAAAAAAGGAACGGGTTTTTTACATTTGGATATTTTCATTTTTCGATTTTTACCTTTGTTGACTTTTGTTGTCCTATATCTTTTGACCTGTATTATGTAGGAGCTTGACATTTGGAACATAATGTAACATTTTGAATATCAATTAACCTATGCAAAAAAAATTGAGGTGGGCGTGGCACATCCGGGTTAAATTACTCATTATTGACATTTTTGGCCAGGGGCATAATTCGCAAAATATACATTTGTTGAAAATGGAACTTTGCATACAATTACCTCATATTTTGAGCCACTTTGTCTTAGAATTTCGGTTGTTTCCGCTTCATAGTTCAAAAAAAGGAACAGGTTTTGGAAATTCAAAATTTTCAATTTTTGACCTTGACCTTTGTTGACCTTGACCTTTGTAGGATCAAACGTTATTGGCATTGGCTATCTATTTATACTTTTATATTTGCTGTCCTATGTCAACTTCCGGTTTTATAGTCGTGTGCATTTAGACATTTTGATGACGTATATCTCTTGATCTTGTCCTTTTTAGACCTTCTCCTTTACGAGATCAAAGGTCACTGACCTTGGCTATCTGCTGATATTTTCATTTGTGACGTATGACGTCCACTTCCTGTATTAGAATCTTCTAAAAAATGAAAATTTGTCAACTTTAGACTGTTCTTGCACATAATCTAATTATCGGGGAAGGTTGATTTTTTCGGGGTCTTTTGCAATTTGCTACATTTGCAAAAACTCATTCTCTGCCGGACCTGTACAATGTACAAATCAAAACATGACAGCGAGAAAAAAATTTCTGAGGTTAAAAGATCCATTTCTATTTAATGGGAAATAACTAACATTAACAAAAAGTCCCAGTTTGTTATCGAAATGTCCATTCTTTTTTTTTTTTTGTGGGACTTTGCTACCGCAAAGTCCCAGTTTGTTATCGAAATGTCCATTCTTTTTTTCTTTTTTTTTTTTGTGGGACTTTGCTACCGCAAAGTCCCAGTTTGTTATCGAAATGTCCATTCTTTTTTTTTTTTTT